AAGCATGTGAAAATGCTGTTGGTGGCCGTTCCCTGCGCACCCCCTTTGGTGTCGAGAAAGTGCCACGCCTGCTACGCCCTGGACGACCGGCTCGGATAACAGCCGCGCTCAGAGACCACGCCCCGCGCACCCCCGATAACGTCGAGAATATGCCACGCCTGCTATGCCCTGGCCAGGCGGCGCTGCCAGCAGCGTCGAGCAAGAGGCGGACCTTGTCGGCAAAGGATAGCTGCCTCCTAGCTGCCAACTCAGCGCCTTGGGGCAGGTTCAAGGGTGCCCAGCTTGGCCCCGGCGGCCGAGTGCAGCACCAGCGAAACAGCCTTCGCCCCCTTCTCCTTCCTGGCTGCCATGGGCCAAGCTCCTCGGTTTATCCTCTCCAGGTGCACTTGCCGTAGCGCGAGGGCAGCCCGCGACGCGCGGCCCTAAGGCCCCTGCCCAGGAGGCGACCCGCTGCTGCTGCTGTAAAGAACATCTTCTCATGTGAGGAGCATGCGTGTCAACGCAGACTATCAGGCTGTGGCCTGTAGAGAAGTCCACGAGAGACACGGGGCCCGGCTAGTAGCCCGTCGTGATGGTCTGACCCTGTTCCTTTTCAACGCCACGCAAACTTCACGCCCGATCAGCCGCCGTCTTCCCAACAGCTGATCCTCGAAACTTGTGGCCCTGCCGACGCTTTTTCGCAGCGGCCCCGGCCGCTGCGAACTCGTGGCGCCACGTCTGTGCGAATTCCTCTCGTGCAGATCCGAGAGCATGCAAGAGCGAATCTCTGGAGCGAAGGAGAGAATCGGGCCGGGCGAAAGGGGGGGGGATAACAAAGGGGGGGTTTGAGAATCAGCTCACGTAGCTGATTTTCCCGGCGCCTCCCGGCGCCGGAGGCGGCTATGTATCGAGGAATGGGCCCCTCGGTGAGGCCGAAACCAGCTGCATGCAGCAAATTTCGTACCCCCCCTTTCCCAATACCCCTCTTTCGTCCGGCCCAAGAGAAGTCCACGTGATCTACATCACCACACATTCAAAGCCGCTGCAGACGCCGATCTGCCATGCACAAGTAGCGCGACGTGCTGCCAGCACAAGCGCCACACAGGTAACTACCCACAAACTAAGATGTCCCAAAACTGCACGTTTAATTGCCTACGCCTCTCCGCCCAATGTCCTATACAGCTGGACTGTGAAGTCATCGTCGGCTGCGCGCCAAACAAAAGTGGAAGGTCAAGGGGGGGCTTTGTAAGATGGCCCCCGAGTCTCTCATGATGCTGTAGGGGAACAGCACCTGAAGGGGGCCAACCTCTTCCCAGAAGACGCCTGCCTTCTCAAACGGCCACCACCTCTCGGCCTCTCCCCTGAAAGGGCGCGCCGCTAACACTTGGCACGCCCAAAACGGGTGCGGAACAACTTGTGCGATGCCCAACTACAAACGTCGCCCATGACCGGCAGCATCCGCTGTCGGGTGGGCAACTTACTGTCTGAAGCATGCAGCGTCTGCGGCGCCGCTGCCAAACCAGTGCTGTTCAACATGGGCGAGCATTGCTGCCCGTCTGCGCCCCCCTGCTTTCCGTGCCTGCTCCGGTCGCACCGCGACGTAAAACAGGGCTAGGATCGGGATAAATCGCTCCAGAGCGTTCCGGAGAGCTCTCAGAGCGTTCCGGAACGCTCTGGAGCGGCCGCGGCGCCCAATACATCCTCCAAACCCGCCGATTCTCAGAGATTTCGAGTTATCCCGATCCGATTTTGTCCCGATCTTCGCGTCGTTTTGCGACGCCACCCGGGCTCGGCACTGTCCTCCTGCACGGGAGCGGCCACTCCGCGGCCAGCCCTTTCAGCCGCGGCCGGGGGCGCCGAAGAGGATGCCGATCGAGGGCAGCGGCGCTGGCCACGAGGCCGGGCCCGGGCCGAACACGAGCACGGTCTCGTCGGAGTCCTCGTCCCAGCCGGCCGCCCCGAGGGTGCGGAGCGCAGTGGGGTTCGTCAGCGGCCAGCGGGCTCCACTCGCCCTGCACCTGAGCGGCGACCCAAAGCAGGTCGCACGCGATGTGGCACAGCGGCCTCACGCGGTGGCTCACGCGGGCCACCAGCGCGGCAAGCCACACTGGAGGCGATGGCGCTCACGCGCGAGCTTGCGCGGACAGCTTGCGCGCCAATGTCGGTGAGAACGAGCATGTTGTTTTCGTCGCTCACCTGAGGTCTTTGTACATCGTGAGGAGCGGCAGCAGCGTCGGGGAGGCTGAGTTCGCGAAATCTATGCCCATGACGCGGCCGTGCCAGTCGACGCTCAGGCCGAGCGCCGCGGACAGGGGGCGCAAGAAGCGCCTGAGGGACGACAGCATGAGCAACCCCTGCCCTGCACCGTGCAGCGGCGGGCACTCCACCCACACGCCCAGGTGCAGCACGAGGCTCTGCGTGACCTGCGCCAGCTCGACCTGGCCGGCTCGCAGGAAGAGCACCTGCTGGCCCATGCACTCCGCCACCGCGCACGCCGCCCGCCGCTGCCCGACTCGCTGCATGCCCGCGCCGTCCTCCTCCAGCGCCGCCATGATCGCGGGACAGTGCCGGCTCCACCAGGCGGCCTGCGCGCGGGCGCGAAGCCGCAGCCCCGCCGGCAAGTCGTCCTGGGCCACCCCGCTGGGCCAACCGGACACGAGCATCGGGTGTTGCTAGAAGTGCCCCTGGGCCAAGGTGCCCCCAGGATTTCCAAGGAGGCCCCCTCGGTCCCCAGAGCAGCCCTGACGATGCCCAGAGGGCCCCAGGGGCTCCACAAGTGAGCCAAAAGCTGGGGGCACCTTGGGCCAAGGGCACCTTTAGCAACCCCCAAGAGCACCGCCGTGGTCAGCACGACCGCATCCTGCGGGCCCTCGGCCACCTGCAGGACGGCCTCCCCCAGGGGCCTCGGGCGGGCTTCGCCGAGGCGGTCGGCCCACGCTTGGCACACCACGCGGGCGTCTACCAGCTCCGCCCACGCGCGCGCGCAGCACGCGGCCCTCGCGAGGCTCGGCGCGGGCACGAAGAGGAACGCGCGCCGCTGCACGTCCTTCGGCACGGAGCACGCGGGCCCTGCAAGAAGCGGGTCCTGGGGCCCAGGGCCCGTCCCCAGGACCCGCCCTTCCGCCCCGACTCCTCTTCGCACTCCCTGAGCCCCCCGGGCGGTCAACCAACTCAGGACCCGCCTGCTCCGTGGCGAGTCCTGCGGCAGGCGCGCCGCCCGCGGGCACCCCGCCCCGGCGCCCCGCCCGCCGCCTCCCGCGACGAGCGGCCGCTGCCGCACCCGCCGCCCCGCGCCGCCCGCCTCCCCGCCCGCTCCGCGCCGGGCCCGCGAGGCGGGCGGCGGCCGACCGCCGCCCCCGCCGCTCCGCTGCACCGCAGCGGCCGCCGTAGAGCCCGCGAGCACCCGCTCGCGCCGCGCGGGGCACGCCGGCCGGGCCCCGCCGCCGCGGCCGGGGCCGCAGGCCGCGGCGCCGGGGGCGCGCAGGTGCGCCCTGCGGCGGGGGGCTGCTGGCCCTGCGCCGCCGCGCGCCCCTGCCCGCGGGAGGCCCGCCGGCTGGCCGCCATTGCGGGGGAGAGGGGGGCTGGTCCAGTCCCACAGTAGGGGCTCGGCCACAAGAAGTTTTCCACAAGAAACCCAACCCCGAGACCCCAGGACGTCCATTCACTTTTGGTGTGGGAGCGCCACGCTTTCCATCGCAAGACCATCGAAGCCCAAGAAACTCAGGGCACCCAGGAGGCAAGCAGGGTGTTTCTTGGCATGGGTCTTCACTGTAATCAAGCGTCGGTATCCAGGCCTTTACTCGGCGTCCACTCCTAGGCCTCCACTCGGCGTCCAGGCCTTCCCTCAGCGTCCTGGCTGGTCCAGTGCTGCCAGCCTCCAACTCGGTGTGGACAAAGGGATGGTAGCACAGAGGGAGGGGGGGAGGGACCCAGCTGCACGCGGCCAGCTTCTTCGGGCGCCTCGAGGCGCCGCCAGCGACCGTGTATCGAGGAAACTCGTGGAGGGCCGAAGCCAACCGCACGCGGCAACTTTCGCAACCGCCCTTGGCCCCCTTTGTGGTCCGTACCGGTCGGCAGGGCCCAGCTCGTCACAGACCTTGGTGCACGTCAGCTGGGGGGGTGGGCCGCACCCGCCAAGAACGCCCCCCCCCAACCTGCGCCTGCGGATGCCTGATGGTTCGTGCCGCCCGAGATCAGGCCACGAGCGCCGCCAGCAATCTCTCGACAGAACACGTCTGCGGCACCCTACCGGGCCAGATCCGTCCGAGAGGGGCTCTGCCCCGTGTGCGCCCGCCGCGACTTGTGCCGCGGCGCTGGGACCTAAGGGCCAGCTCCCGTCTCCCCGCCCATCGCCAGGGCGGGGACCGCCGGTCCTCGGCGCCGCGGGGTTCGCGCGTGGGGGCGCAGCGGCGGAGGGCCCGTCGAGCAGAAGTTCTGCCGCGCGCTCGGGGCCTGCACTGCCTCTTGGGAGCCTGCCAGCGGAAGCAGTGCCTTGTTCTTCCTCGGGCCCCCCGCCTCCTCCTGCCTTGGCCTCCTTGTCTCCCGTCCTCCTCCCTCCTACCGCTTGCACCTCTTCCGTTCTCTCTTTCCCTGCTCGCCCAGCCCTCTCCTCTCCTCTCCTCCTCCTCCTCCTCCTCCTCCGCCTCCTCCTCCCCCTCCTCCTCCTCCTCCTCCTCCTCCTCCTCCTCCTCCTCGTCCTCCATCCTCCCTCCTCCTCCTCCTCCTCCTCCTCCTTCCTCCTCCTCGTCACTCCCCCTCTCCTCCTCCTCCCTCCTCCTCCTCCTCCTCCTCCTCCTCCTCCTCCTCCTCGTGTTCCTCTTGCCCTTCTCCTCCTCTCTTCCTCCTCCTCCTCTCCTCCTAGTCCCCGCATCTTCCTCTCTCCTCTTTCCTCCTACTCCTCCTCCTCCTTCTCCTCCTCCTCCTCCTCCTCCCTACGTCGTTCCTCCGCACTTCCCACCGCCTCATCCTACTTCTTTGTTATTAGAATTACTCGAGCCATGCCACGAAACTGCCACGATAGGGGGGGATCCGACTGTTTTTCCTATTTTTTTTTCCGACTGGTTCCATGCTGTCTGTCAGTAATCTATAGAAGATCCACGATTCTTCGTATCGACATGGGCATTCCGTCGTTAATGTGGCAAACATGCGTGGCACGAGCGCGACAGGGCGCACATCCCGCGCGAAACGCCGAAATGTCGCTCTCGCCTCGGCGCCGCTTCCATTTCTAAAGCGTTGAGTTTCCACTTTGGCGCGGCGCGCATTTTTCGCACGCGACTCCGTCGACGCGCGCGCGGCCGAACATGTAGCTCCCGCCTCGGCGCCGCGCAGATTCCAACTGAAAGTGGCGCTCCCGCGTCGACGTGGCCCATATGTGTCAACTCGCCAATTTTGCAGTGGCGCGCGAGCGGGCGATTTGTCGCCCTCGCCCAAGCTCCGTCCGCATTTCGCATGGAATTGGCGTTCCAACGCGAGCGCGGCGCATGGGTCGTTCGCCGAATCGCATGGGCGCGACAACGGCAGCGGGTTGGCGCGAAACCGGGCGAAGTGTCGACCTCGCCCAAACGTCGCGCAGCTCGTGAGAGATATTGGCCGTGCGCGGCGCATGCTTTGTCTTCGCCGCGACTTTTTCATGTTGTGGGAGGGAGGGAGGGAGGGCGGAGTAGGCGGGGCCTGCTGGCTCGCTCGTCCTGGTAATGTTGATACCTCTCCTTCTCCTGCTCGACCTTGTCACGCACCCACACACACACACACGCAAGCCCACGTCCACGCCCACGCCCACCCACACGCTCAAGCACACGAACACACGCACACCCCACGCAGACACACTACCCACATTCACACGCACACGCCCACCTACATCCACAGGCACAAGCACATGCACACAACACGCATACACATCGCATTGCATACCACATACCACATACCACATACCACATACCACATACCACACGCACACGCACATCCACACGCCCACGCATGCACATACGCATGCACAAGCACGCACGCGCACTCACACACACAAGAACAAGTACAATGACAAACACAAGCGCGCACACACCGCAATATATCTGGCGCCCAGCTGGCGAGCGTAAGCCTGGGGCGGCTGGTTTCCCCCGATCTGTCCAAGAACACTCCTCTATTTACGATAACGCCCGTGACTGGCTCCGCCGCCCTGACCACCTGGTCACGGCACGATTCGCGCTGGTGCCGTCTGGCAGTGCACACTGATAACCCAGAAAGTTCGAATAACGCATGCCCACAAAGATCTGCTACCGCAGACCGTGCACCATGCTGTTGGCACGCAGGAACCAACGATGTCATCTCTTCTCCTTTTTCCCCCGCCTCCTTCCCCTCGTCGTCGTTGTCCTCCTTCTCCTCCTCCTCCTCCTCCTCCTCCTCCTCCTCCTCCTCCTCCTCCTCCTCCTCTTTGCATTCCCATCCTCATCCACCTCTTGTTGCCCTCGTCCTTCTCGTTGCAGTGTGACGTGGCTCACACAAGGACAGAAAAAAGGAAAGGGGGAGCAGCGACGAGGGAAAGGGGAAGGAGGCGGGGCCAGGCCGGAACGACCTGTTCGATCTCTCTTCTGTTGTCGATTCGTGCTCTGGGAAGGGTCTGGGTGCCTGCGGGCCCGAGGGGGGACATCTCCTCGTCGTTGTCATCGTCCCCCCCGCCCTTCCTCGTGCTTGTCCCCTAGCCGCCCCCTTCCTTCTTCCTGCGCTGTGCATCGACTCGGTGCGCAACAATGCGCCCGCACATCACGGATGCGGCAGCAACATGTGCGTGCACCACATGGTTTCGGCGCAGCACAGGGCCTGTGAGGGTGAGGAATGGTGTAATCACATGGAATACGCGCGGTCCGTTTTCCAGCTCGGCCTTGCCCAAAGTGCATTGCATCCTTCTTTTTGCGGACGCATCGGATTACGATAAGGAGTCTCAATCTGGGTGTCGTCAGTAATCTTGGGACCTGGAAGCGCACGTGGCTGGAACCACATGCGGAACATGCGGATGCCAACTGCTGGATGCACGTAAAGAAAAGCCGGCCTTCTTGGCCACACGAGGGTCGAGCCCTGGAAAGGCATGCGGCCACGTGTGCATCCACCTCTCGCTCAGGCTGGACACGTCATGTGTAGACATGTGTGAGGTTTCATGGTAAGGAACACGCAGGGCAGATGTCCCGTTTTGCTGGGTTACCCTTTCCCAGACGGGGCATGTCTCAAACATCAGGAGGACGAACACGATGAGAGTAAGAAGGGAATGAAAAGGGCGACGACGAGGCCATTTCCCCCCCTCGGGCCCGGGCCAGAGGTGCCCGGACCCATCCTAAAGGAAACATCGATAACATTACTGTGGTCAAACAGGTCATTTCGACCTGGCCCCGCCTCCTTCCCTCCTCCCAACTCTCTCTTTCCCTCCCCTGTCCTTGTGTGAAGCACCTCATAGTACAAAAAGGAAGGAGGACCAGGACGACGTGAGGAAGAGCAGGACGACGACGACGGCCTTGCAGATCCAAGCTGTGCCGTAGCAGATCCTACTGGTTTCTGCTGCCCGAGCTGCCTGTGGTTATTTCCAAGCATTTCCTGACGGGGCTGGCGCGAATCGTGACGTGACCCCCCCCCTCTCCCTTCCCCTGGTCACGCGCGTGACCGCCAGGGGATCAGACAATGCACTCCAGGCAAGCCGACGGCATGATGACGGCAACACTTGGGAGAGATCTCGAGATTCCGCGAAAGCCCGCAGCCCTGGAGGATGCGTCGGGCGCAGCGGTTGTTTTGGCATGAGACGAACGGGTTCAGAGGTACATTCGTCCCTACCAGGATGCGTTCATTTAATCCTGAATCGTTTTGTGAAAGTGTCATGGCCGACCAGGCCGAATACGAAATAATAGCCCGGGAACGTACCCAACTCTTTTAAGCATGTGGCGAATCTACATCAGAAACACCAAAGCAATCGTCGAACTATCCGCAATGCCCTCGAACGCTTCGCCAAAGACCGTCGGGCCAAAGTCAGATGTGCCATATCTGCGGCGTCACTCGTAAGAGTCAAATCGTTGACAGGAGAGCGACCACGAGGGGGCATGGAAACATGAGGACAGACGATTGGAGACATAGTTCGTGGGAGTAGCAGCGCCTTGCGCTGTGTTCGCGTTGCAGGACAACGCTCTGCGCGCTATGACAGTACAGCGCCTTGCGCTAAACGTAGCATGTGCCCGCACGCAGTAAAAACAACAAGCAACTGAAGAAACGATGCAACATGGATAACGGACAACGCCATGCGTCCACGGGGCGACCATGCGACTGTATACCCGGCCAACCATGCCTAATGGGACTGGTGGCGAAAGTTTCGCAGATCGCAGCCCCACACGGACGCCGAGGTCTTATGGTGGTCCCCGTGGGACACCCCTCCGCTGGACCTCCCAGGAGCCCACGAAAAGTGGCGACAATTTCGCAGATCGCAGCCCCCAGGGACGGCGAGGTCTCATGGTGATCCCCGTGGGGCACCCCTCCGCTGGACCTCCCAGGAGCCCACGACAGTGGCGACAGCTTCGCAGATCGCAGCCCCCAAGGGACGGCGAGGTCTCGTGGTGATCCCCGTGGGACACCCCTCCGCTGGACCTCCCAGGAGCCCACGAAAATGGCGACAGCTTCGCAGATCGCAGCCCCCAAAGGGACGGCGAGGTCTCGTGGTGATCCCCGTGGGGCACCCCTCTGCTGGACCTCCCAAATGCCCACGAAAGTGGCGACAGCTTCGCAGATCGCAGCCCCACAGGGACAACCAGATCTCGTGGTGATCCCCGTGGGCCACCTCTTCCGCTGGACCTCCCAGGAGCCCAAAGTGGCGACAATTTCGCAGATCGCAGCGTGATCCCCGTGGGACACCCCTCCGCTTGGCCTCCCAGGGGCCCACGAAAATGGCGACGATTTTGCAGATCGCAGCCCCCCCAAGGATCACCGTGGGACTTCCCTCCGCTGGACCTCCCAGAGGCCCACGAAAGTGGCGACAGCTTCGCAGATCGCAGCCCCCCCACGGACAGCGAGGTCTCGTGGTGATCCCCGTGAGACACCCCTCCGCTGGACCTCCCAGGAGCCCACGAAAGTGGCGACAGTCTCGCAGATCGCAGCCCCCCAAGGGATGGCGAGGTCTCATGGTGATCCACGTGGGACACCCCTCCGCTGGACCTCCCAGGAGCCCACGGAAGTGGCGACAGCTTCACAGATCGGATCCCCCCAGAGACGGCGAGGTCTCATGGTGATCCCCGTTGGACACCTCTCCGCTGGACCTCCCAAAAGCCCACGAAAGTGGCGACAGCTTCGCAGATCGCAGCCCCCCAGAGACGGCGAGGTCTCATGGTGATCCCCGTGGGACACCCCTCCGCTGGACCTCCCAGGAGCCCACGAAAGTGGCGACAGTCTCGCAGATCGCAGCCCCCCAAGGGATGGCGAGGTCTCATGGTGATCCACGTGGGACACCCCTCCGCTGGACCTCCCAGGAGCCCACGGAAGTGGCGACAGCTTCACAGATCGGATCCCCCCAGAGACGGCGAGGTCTCATGGTGATCCCCGTTGGACACCTCTCCGCTGGACCTCCCAAAAGCCCACGAAAGTGGCGACAGCTTCGCAGATCGCAGCCCCCCAGAGACGGCGAGGTCTCATGGTGATCCCCGTGGGACACCCCTCCGCTGGACCTCCCAGGAGCCCACGAAAGTGGCGACAGTCTCGCAGATCGCAGCCCCCCAAGGGATGGCGAGGTCTCATGGTGATCCACGTGGGACACCCCTCCGCTGGACCTCCCAGGAGCCCACGGAAGTGGCGACAGCTTCACAGATCGCAGCCCCCCAGAGACGGCGAGGTCTCATGGTGATCCCCGTTGGACACCTCTCCGCTGGACCTCCCAAAAGCCCACGAAAATGGCGACAGCTTCGCAGATCGCAGCCCCCCATAGACGGCGAGGTCTCATGGTGATCCCCGTGGGACACCCCTCCGCTGGACCTCCCAGGAGCCCACAAAAATGGCGACAGCTTCGCGCATCGCAGCCCTCCAAAGCACCCCTTCCGCTGGACCTCCCAAGAGCCCACGACAGTGGCGACAGTTTCGCAGATCGCAGCCCCCCAGGGACGGCGAGGTCTCATGGTGATCCTCGTGGGACGCCCCTCTGCTGGGCCTCCCAAGGGCCCGCGGGGGTGGCGGCGGTTTCGCGGGTCGCGGCCCCTCGGGGGCGGCAGGGTCTTGTGGTCCCCGTGGAACACCCCTCCGCTGGGCCCCCCCGGACCCCACGAAAATGGCGACAGCTTCGCAGATCGCAGCCCCCAAAGGGACGGCGAGGTCTCGTGGTGATCCCCGTGGGGCACCCCTCTGCTGGACCTCCCAGGGGCCCACGAAAGTGGCGACAGGCTCGCAGATCGCAGCCCCCCAGGGACGGCGAGGTCTCGTGGTGATCCCCGTGGGACACCCTCCGCCGGACCTCCCAGGAACCCACGACAATGGCGACAGTTTCGCGGACCGCAACCTTCCAGGGACGGCGAGGTCTCGTGGTGATTCCCTTGGGACACCCCTCCGCTGGACCTCCCAGGAGCCCACGATCGTGGCGACAGTTTCGCAGACCGCGGGCACGAGGCAGGAGGCAGAAGACAGGCAGGAGGAGAGAGGACGAGGAGGGAGAAGGGGGGAGGCGGAGTGAGGAGGAGGAGGAGGAGGAGGAGGAGGAGGAGGAGGAGGAGGAGGAGGAGGACATTCCAGGATATTCCAGATAAGGGACGTCGAAGGTCCCGCATTGGCTTCACGATTACTGCTGAAATCGACTGTGCAACGCATCTCTCACTGCTTTCGGGGGCCCCGACGGGTGGGGGTACTTACCCGGTAAAATTCTCGCCAGATTCTGCTTCCCCTTGGGGGTGAGCTTGCACACTTTCAAGAGCTGTCGGGGGTCGGTGGTGTAACTAAAACCGCAAGTGCTACAAAAGGTGAGGCAGTACACACTCCAGTACTGCAGTGTATGAGACGGATGGAGCTCTTTGCCACCAATATCACACCTCCCTCGGATGGCCTCGAATTCTTGACGACCCTTCGACCCGCACGGAGTCTCACAAGCCTGAAAAATCGAATCCTGATTCGAAAAACTCGAACACTTAGCGCAATAATACTTAGCACCCACACGACACCACCGATGCTCAGAGGCTCTGAGCTCTCTCGCCAACCTCGGGAGCGGTTTTTGAGACTGCGCCGAGAGACGTTCGTGGGTCCACGGGTCCGCAACCATGGAAAGCCCCAGGGCTCTCCTCGCGCGCCGACGGATCAAAAACAACTCCGCATCCCTTCGGTCGGTCGGAGGGTCAGCCACCACGAATTCTGACCAAGCCTTTTCCGCCATCGCCCCTGCAAGCGCATCGGCACATTCGTTGCCGAATTGCAGGAACGACTGATACCTGTGGTGTGTGGCCTCCTCTTGGTGGGAGGCCACCCATTTGAGCACCACGTCCTCGGGCTCTCTGGCACGAAGCGCAGCGGCGATCCTGGCCCAAAGGTCCGCGTTGCACCCCCCCTCAAGGGCCTCGAAACCGACAGACCGACCTTTGGCCCAGGACCTCAACAGTGGCTGATGATCTGTGACAAAACAGAGTCGGCCTGGGACGTCCTCAACCGCAATCGCGAACGCAGTGATCTCCGCGCGAGGAACACTCTGGCGCTTCCCATTGAGGGTGGCGCCAACGCCCCAGACCGACTTCCAGGCCTGCCCTTCTGGGGCCAGCGCGACGACTCCAGAGCCAACCCGTCGACGCCGAGGGTCGTCAGGGAACCCCCCACCCGAACCGTCCCCGAACACGGTAGCGAAACCTTCGGCGTCTCTGGGGGTGTCCTGGATCGAGCCGCATCGAAAAAACAATGGGTGGGTCATCGGAGAAGGGACCGTTTCAGCCCGACCTGGGACCCCACGGAGCCAGAAACTCGGCGAACTCGCGTGGTTCGCCCTTGCCTGGGGGATCCAGGAATCGGATTTCGTGAAATCAAGATGGCCAACGTTGGCCTCGCATTCCCAAGTACGGTGAAACAGAGTCTCAGGCGCCTGTTGGCACCTTGGACATCAAAGGCTAGGTATATTGTACCCAGCCTGTTGCAGCCTCTCACGGGGCCACTGGCCCCCAGTCGCCACCACCGCGTTCAGCGCCCATTCGTCGGAGCCGTCGTCGTCCCTGAGCGTGCGCAGCTCCCTGGACAGCTGGTACGTGTCCGCACCGTCGTACAGGTCGCTGCCGTTGTCGTGCCTCGAAGCTATATTCCATAGCAGTCTATCTATGGTGTCCTCAATGTCCCTCAATATGTCCGTGAAGTCGCTGTTAAACAGCTCATACTCAGCATCTTCATGTGAAGGAATGGTCCATGTTTCCTTTGCAGACCCCCACTGCACAGGAGAATGTGGGGCCCATCCTATATCCAGCAGAGTTGAAATCGTAGCTCCGATTTAATCGCCATCTGCGTGATCCTGCCAGTAGCAGCCGCCTGCGGATGCTGACCCAAGCCGTCGCCACACGCGCGTGCAACTCAGGATGCTCGCGCCGCATCTGCAGCCACACGTGGAAATGCTCGAGTCTCACTGCCTTGGCTGGATCTTTCTTGCCATAGACCATCGCCAATGCCGTAGTCAAGCAACGTCCTGGTCCTGCACCAACTGAACACTGCGCAGCCTGTCCCCTCAAATCTGTCATCACGTGTCCTGCTACTCCAAGTGCCTGATGGGCGTATGTTCCCTGTGCTCGTGATCCAGCAGTCCACAACGCCGTAGTGACGCCTCGTAACTTCGCATGCCTTCTCATCCTCTTGATCGCCCATGCTCGTTTAGCAGCCTCCTTTCTTCTATCATTCGTTTTAATGCAGGTGCGACGACGCCCTGCACTGGTGCCCATGCCCAGGTCGACCGCCTCGTGCGCGGTGGTGACAGGAATTCCCAGTCGACGTAGGCCCGATCTCAAGATCTCACTGTCCGAAGCAACCACGGTGGTCTTCTCGCCGATGACTAAGCCAGCTTGCCGTAGCTGTTCGCAAACCATCGCACCCGATTCGATCGTCAAGGAAGTGGTCTGCTTAGCCGTACCTTCCGCACGAATCACTGTGTCGTCTACGAACGTTCTGAGAAGGATCTGCATGCCGTACTGCTGGTGAGCCCTCTCCATGATAGGGCCTAGGGAAGCTTTCGCCATTCTACCTCCGTTGAGCGAGCCCGCCACACAATACCCCGCTGTGCCTGTATAGTGTGCGACACCCAACCACGGTCTTGCAGCACCCCCGGCGCGAGGCAAATCTGGAGCTCCATAAGCAGTACCTTGGCGGGGAATCCTTGTGCGAGAGCCGCAGCGCACAACTTTGTGATGTCTAGACTGTCATAACATTTTTCTATGTCCAACAATAAAATAGCTGAAGACATGTGAAGCTCTCGTGCTGACTCGTCTAACAGCCCGCGAACCAACGCGGCTTGCAGGTGCTGAGGACCCACGGACCGCAGTATCCCAATGCTCGTCCGCCTCGGAGGTCCATTGCAATGTAGCCGCAATTCGTATCTTTGCCCAGAGCTTGACCAAGAACGGTAACAGCCCTAAAACTCTATCTCCTCCTCTCGGCTTGGGGGCGATCGCTCCAATGACGAGGTTGACCTGTGGTGGCCACATCTCAATCTCCTCGACCTCATTGAGCAGCCGCCCCAGCTGATGTGCACCCGATAGTGGTAGTCGCTGTACCTCCACTGGACCCATTGCATCAATACCCTTCGATTTATTCGCGTTCATGCTGGATGCCGCCTGGTATACGTGGTCCGCCGTGATCAGCTCGCTGTCCTGCTGAGCGGCTCTCTGCCGTAGGTATCCCAACCCGTATTCTATCTTGTCAGCACTGAAGTTGCCACTGCCCCACATTTCTGCCATCTGTCAGCTCGGTGGTCCATGATATCACTGGGTGAGCCGATAACGCGACCCGTGCCAATTATCATCAGCCTTGTCCAGCACACCTCGCGTATACCTGTGGATAACTCCTGGAGTAGATTTCCACATGCGGGTCACCCACTGCTGGAAGCTCTTGTTCGCCTTCGATAGGGATCGCCCAATCGCTCTGCTGAGGAACTGATTTGTCATCTGCTGCAAGTCCGAGAAGTCCGTGTCATCTAACTCTGAAATCATGGTCACCATCCCCAACCAGCACTTGAACTTATCCTCGTCGTGGAAAATCGTAAACATGCCCGTGGCGTAATTGATGCTCAGAAAGTCTTCGATCTTGCTGCAGACCGCCTGTAAATCGGAATTTCGTTGTGACTGCCGTAATACTCCAGCTCGAATGACCAGAGTACTGCATATATTCCACCACTCAGCCACTGGGTCTCGTAGATGGGGGCGGTCGGGAGTAGCGCGTGTCCGCTCCCACCTGAACGCGAAGCCCTTGGCTCTGCCCCTGACCTTGTCGGCCTCCTGCTGCTCGGGCTTGTGTGTGATGATGGTGGCCTCCTCAAGCGTTGTCGCCCAGCTAGCGCAGCTCGATGCCAGCCTGCCCCTGGCTGGTATGTCCCTGTCCGGGAGGAAATGCGGGGTGAGTTCCCGATTTTCTTCCAGGCATGAGTCCTGTGTCTTCTCTAGCATCCGCGCCTGCTCCCAAACCTCGTGGGATATGCTGAATGGGACGCTCCCCTCCTCGATGCTGTCCTCATGCTGATGCTGCATGTTGCCAAACGCCTCCTGCAAATGATCGTCCAGTTGCTGCTGTCTGTGTGCTCGAGCTTCCGCCGGGTTCCTCTGTCTCTTGCTCTCTGGGTCGGGCAAAAGGGTGGGTCTCTTCACCGTGGGAAGCTCCTTCGCAATGTCCAACGCTCTGTGCCACCAACCCACCTTCGCGTACATGACCTCTAAGACCATGCCTGCATGGGTCTTCCATGGCACCTCAGGCACGATTGATAGCTTCATGGTAGAAGAAATCCCACGCTTCGCAATCGCGTAGTCGACGAGCGTGCCTCGGCCCCTATTGCACGCAACTTCGCCATTGGAGGGAATGATGACCAGTGCATCCAGCTTCTCCAGCCAGGTTGTCTTAGACCACTCCGATGGATGCATATTCCAGTCGCCCATCACCAACCAGGGCTCCTTCACCAGGCTGAGGAAGGACGCCAACCTAATCAGCGTCTTCTCGTTCGGACCACGAAACTTGTGCCCTGGGAGAAGGTAGCACACCACCACAACAACATTGCCCATGCGGGTGCGCCATAGCATGGGGACAAATCCTTGGAAACAATCGCGCCCTGTGCGTGCTCGCTCTGGCTCTCGCAGATGTTCGAATGAAGTGGTCGCCATGCGCTTCTGGGTAATCATCCACTCCCCGCCTGAAGTGCCCTGACTTGATCTGCCTGTCACAGTAGCCTCTGTTGCTGTAAGTTTCCAACCATCTCGCCCCAAGTCGGACTTCGCCTCCTGTAGACGGTGTCGTCTCTGATGTGTCTCCGTGAAACCAATGATATCATATTGATTTGCCTGCTCACGCATGAAGGACCTCGCGACAGGCCCCCGCTCCGATATATTACTGAAGAATAACCTTGAACTCATACTTGCCGTGCTAGAAGATGTACATGGTGTATCACCGCCAGTGCTGCTACCCACGCTGAGCACCAGCACCAGAACCTGAAACAGACGATGAAGCACCTTTGCCGCCAGCCTTGGCATTGCTCGCGATCCGTTTGCGCTCAACCTCCAACGCCGCTGCTCGGTCCGCTTCCGCTGCCGCCAGGAGGTCGGGAGTGTCCTCGTTCGGCTGCACGGGACTCTTGGCATCCCCTCGCTGGTCCTCTGGCGTCGAGTCGTACTCCGTGGTGCCTCCAGTACCCACTGCCGATTGACCTTGTTCTCCAGTGCGCTGTCTCTTGGTTGCTCCAGAGCGAATATCCTTGACCTTTGCGAACTGTTCGTGAACTGCTTGCTGGATGGCCGCCACCTGCTCGCACTTCTCCTTAATCGTGGCCTCAAGGGCCCGCAAGACTCGCTGCTCTTCTTCATCAAAAGCGCCGATGTCCTGGAAGAGCGTGTCATCCACCGCGAAGACGACTCTTTTGCCGTCTGAAGTGTAGCCCTGCGGGACATGCTGGATGTTGGCCTCCGCCGCGACTCGAGCCACTGCGTCCGCGTGCTCCTTCTTGGCTCTGGCGTGCTCCAATGCCGCGAACTTCGTGGTCTCCCTGGCGACCTCCAGCTTGTGCTCCGCGTCCAACTTTGCCTTGGAGGCTCTCTCGAGAGCATCCGCCTTCCACTTGAGTTCTTTCGCCGGCCTCGTGTAGCACTCTTGGGGAGACGCCTGCACCGCCTGGCTCTCCTTGTACTTCTCTTGCGCCTGACGAAACGTGTTGACCTCTTTGGTGAACTGGGGAAGAGAGGCCAGCTGCTCGAGGAGAGCTGCTGGGTCGACCTTCGTGGGGGCCGTGGTCGTCTCCGTCGCTCTGTATTGATACCAAGAACTCTGCCTCTTCGAACGCCACGGAGGTGCTCTCTGGTAAAGATCCATCGAGGCCCCGCACTTCGCGCACATGCCATCGTTGCGCTGGATACGGAAATTGAATGCCCAATTGCCACATGAGCAGACCGTGAAATCGCCCTTCCTCGCCATCTTCGCGTGGGAGGAATGGTTGCCGACGGGACGGGCCCGTCCCTGGAAATGCGGGGCCGCTGATCCCCAGTGCCAGCTCAATGACTTGAGCCGAAATGGGTACGGAGGAGGAGGAGGAGGAGGAGGAGGAGGAGGAGGGGGTCCGTAGCCATTTTGGCTCAAGTAAACCACTTCTCGAGGTGGCTTACAGTGAGCTAGTGATTGTGCGATCTCCTGCTTGAGCCTGCCCAGGCCTTGCAGATTCTTTCATACCCAGAGTCGCATTCATGGGCGAGCGCAGTGCCGGTGCTCGCAATGAGGCGTGGTGTTGTCCCAAGAAGAAGTGTGGTTTCAAAACGAATTTCTCGTGGAAGCGGTTCTGCTACAAGTGCGGTGCTGCACGCCCTCCTGCGCCTGCTCCTGCGCAGCAACAGCGTGGGCCGCAAGGCGCCTGGGCGGACGGGCCGCCTCGCTCAGCCGCTGCTCGGCCCAAGCACAAGCTGCTCGAGCCCGCGCAGCTCGGCAAGATCGCGCGCATGTCCAACGACGATTTCGAGGTGTGCAAGGGGCTCTTCTCGCCCTCCCAGCGTGCTCGAGTCGTGGCACAGCGTGCCCTGGCTGCTGGTGACCCTCGCGCAGTTCAGCGTCATGCGCAGGCGCTGTTGGACGATCTCAAGAAGCAGATCGCCCACGTCTCCAAGCAGATCGAGAAGGTCGAGTCCGTCGTGCAGAGCAAGGTCCTGGAACTCGTCAAGCTCAAGGACAACCTCTCGTCGCTCGAAGGCCAGGAGCGAGTCGCCTCCGCCAAGGCCCCAGCGGCATGGGCGCAGTGTGCTGCTGGGGGTGCGGGAGCTGCAGACGCCTCGGGCACCGCGTTGTCGGCCGACGACCCCGCGTCTGCTCTGCTCATGCAGTTCCAGTCCTTGGACGCGGGCTTGGCTCGCTCTCTACGTTCATTGCTGGAGACGCGTGATTCGCTTCTGGTTCCTGCTCACCCTGGTGATGAGGCTGCCACCGACGACGGCTACGAGTCTGACGAACTGGACGACCTCAGTGGCGACGGCAACGCCATGGAGGACGCCCCGCCTGGAGAAGCACGTGCTGAACCTGCCCCAGCCGACGTTCGTGATGCGGAGGCTGCCGCGCTGGCAGTCTTCGGCCGACCTCCTTCTGAGTCCCCGTTTGCACCAAGAGCTTCGCCTGCTGCCCCGCTTTGTGGAGGGGGGGGCGGGCTCGGACTTGGGACGGGGGCGGGGTGGGTCAGGGGCTGCAGCGGCCAGTGCTGGCCCGCCGCCCGCAGCTCGTGTGCTCTCAAGTTTCCTCAAGAAGCTCTCCACTGAGCAAGGGTTTAATGCCTTCCTTGCCCAGCATAAGATTCCGCGCAAGCATGCGGAGCACATTCTTGGGGGTATCAATGTTGCAGCGCAGAAAAAGTTTCGGCTCACTCCCTTCAGTGAGGGAGATGACGTGCCCAGCAGGTCCCCGCCCGGATCCTAGCGCTGGTCAGGCCAAGGCATGGATCATGATCACCGCCAATGTTGGGGGCCAGCTTGGGCTCGATGCGTATTTGTGTGAGTGCATTGCTTGTGACGTTCTCCTCGTGCAGGAGACCAGGATCCCTGCCTCGTCGGTGGAGCCGACTGAGGCGCGCCTCCGTCAGATCGGCTGGTCAGCCTCTCTCACGGCCGCGCTGCCCACGCTCGGCAATCCCACTGGCGGTCTGATCACGGCCACGCCCAAGAGGATTGGTCTAGGTGTGCTCGAGAGTGTCTCGCCTGTGCTGCAGCCTGCGCGTGCCAGTCTTCACCATGTGGGAGGGGTGACTCGAGGTGGATTCCTGGTTGTGAATCTCTCTTTGGTGCAATCCGTCGGGGTGAATGAGGTTAACTGGGACATCTTGTGCCGCGTCGGCAGGTCCCTCAAGGCTGCTGGTATGGCGTTCGTGATCGGTGGAGATTGGAATATACATCACACAGATCTGCAGCGGACTGGATGGGTCGATGCCATGGACGCAGTCATCGCTGCCCCTGCTGGCGGCACGTGCCGCCCAATCATGAGGTGCATCGACTTTTTCGTCGTCTCGAGGGTCATTGCAGGTGCGGCCAGGACTGAAATTGTTCAAGACGCCCCCATCTCCCCCCACTGCCCTGTCAGGCTCGTTCTCCCACGCGTTGAGCCTGTTGCTGAGGTCAAGTTCGTTAAGTTGCCCAAGCGGTTCCCTCTGGAGCGCCCCATGGGTTGTCTGGGCCCCCCTGCCGAGGGTAGGTGGGAGCCCGTGGCCGCCCTGTGTTCTGATCCTAACGTCTCTGCGCAGGACAAATGGAACTGTTTCGTTCGGGCGGCGGAGGCCGAGTGGCTCTATGTCTTTCAGACTTCGGGAGAGCTTGCTGATGGGTGCGTTGGCAGGGACCTGCCTCTGAAGATCTCCTCTAAGAAGCCATCTTGCCCTGGGCCTCCGAGGTTTCCCAAGCTTTCCCCGTTGGCGTGTTGGTGGCGCAAGGTCAGCGTCCTCTTGTCTGACCTTGCGCGATATCCTGTGGGCACACACAGGCGGCAGCTCGTTTCGGCTGCCCATCGGCTTTCAGGTTTTCACCGCCTCCCTAGCAGTGCTATGTATGCCGCCTGGACGGCAGCGTTGCGCCAGGCTGATCTGCTGCCGCTGCTCTCGGCCAAGGCGCTGGCAGAGCTGGCGGACGTCGAAGCCAAGAGGCTTCAGGCTCAGTCGGCGCACGACAAGGACAGGGAGTGTAGCAAATGGGTTGACAAGCATTCCCCCGGGGGGATGTCGGCTTTGTTCAAGTGTTCCCCCCTTCCCATCGGCTGGCAAACCGATGCCCTTGACCACTCCGCCCTCCGCCCCTGTTCGTCGGCCGAGGCGGTCGAGGCCCTTGAGGCTGAGTGGAAAAAGTGGTGGTCCGTGGGGCAAGCGAAGCCCCTCCTCGGGTGGCCTGAGCTTGGAGCGCCGCCTGAGCGACCCAGCGTTGATGAGCTCGTGCGGGCTCTTAAAAGCTTTAAGTCCTCTACTGGCACTGGTTTCGATCAGGTGTCGCCCCGCTCCCTGCTGCTGCTGCCGCCTACTGCGCTGGAAGCCTTGTGTGAGATCATCTCACACATTGAGCACGAGCGGGAGTGGCCTGCCATGTGGAACCGCATTGTGTTTATTCTCAAGCGGGTGGGGGGACTCAGGCCGTTGGGGCTGCTCCACGTGTTGGCTCGCGTCCAATGTCGCCTGAGACGTCCTCTCATCAGGCAGTGGCAAGAGAGAAACTATCGTGAGTTCTTTTGGGGCACTCGCGGTAAGTCCCCGGAACGTTGCGTGTGGATTCAGGCTGCCTGGTCCGAACACTCGACGTTCAACCATCGTAGTTGTGCGACTTTGCTTTTGGATGTAAAGAAGGCGTTCGAGCTGGTGCAGCACCGACATCTCATCTCGGCCGCGCAGGCCACCTGTTTCCCTATGCGGCAATTCTACCTCCTGGTGCAGATGTATCGTGCTCCTAGGCTGCTCGACGTGGCTGGCGAGGTTGGTTCGTTGCTGGATGTTGAGCAGACTGTTGTACCAGGCTGTACATTTGCCACTTCTATGCTTCAATTGGTGCTGCTAGGTCCCCTCGACGCCGTCCAGGCGTCTTTCCCGACGGTCCAGCTGTCGGTCAATGTTGACGACTTCGGCCTCATGAGATGGGGTGCGGAGTCGAGAGTCGCGCATGACATCGTCGGTGCGGGTAAGAAGCTCCGCAGTGAGCTCAAGGCCGCCGACCATAGGATTGCCGTCGACAAGTCCCGAGTGCTCGGGAACCCGCCTGCGGTTAGAGCCTCGATCGCTTCGAAGCTCCGTAGCCTTCAACCCCTGCCCGTGAGAGCTGAGAGAAACCTCGGCGTCGATTTCTCCTCTGGGCTCGCTGGAGGGGGCAAGGCCACGTCCGCCCCCCGTGCCAAGGCCATGTGCAAGAGGCGGCAGCGCATGTCCATCCTCAAAGGCTCTAGACCTCGTCGCCGCGTGCTTGGGCGAATGGCTCGAAGTGCTCTGGAGTCTTCCGTCCTGTGTGGGTCCGCCGTGGCCGGCATGAACGGGCAGGAGTTAGAGGTTCTTAGAGGTGCTGCTGGCAGGCTTCAAGACCATCGCATGGATGGCAAATCTCGCACCCTGGCCCTGTTACTGGCTCCTGTGCCCCGTTTGGACCCCATTTTCAGGGCCACGTGGTTGCCCGTGAAGGCCTTCCTCCACGCTCTGTGGCACTCCTGGCTTCCTAGGGACGCCTTGGACTTCGGCCTCCGTGAGGCCCGCGAGAGGCTTTTGAATATTGAGCACCCGTGGTCTTCCATTCGGGGCCCTTTCGGCGCTTTGTGGGCCGCCCTCAAACGTGTCGGGATCACGGCTACGTCGGCGACCTCCTGGACTTGGCCCGATGGGGCTGTCATCAATCCCTCGGGCTTCTGCCCCGTCACCATCCAGGAGATCGTGCACCGTGCCGTCGAGTGTTGGCAGTTCGCCAAGGTAGCTGACCACTTGGACCTCCCCGAGTTTGGCAACGGTGTCATCCTAAGCCCCCTGAAGGCCCTGCTCAGCACCAAGAGTAAGCTCACGGCCCAGCAGAGAGGCCACCTGCGAAGCACTGTGGTTGGGGGGCAGTGGCCCCAGAAGCGTCAGTGGGCCGAGGGATATGACGCCACGCCTGCCTGCTTGCTCTGCCCTCAAGCCGAAGGCACGCTGCTACACAGGCGCTGCTCTTGTGCGCGTCTCGACAGTCTCGGGGGCGCCCCTGCGTTTCGTGCCAATGTAGCGCGAGCAGCGCACTCGCCGCTAGCCCTCGCCTTTGCTGAACGCTGTCTGGTCCCTTTTCCCGCACTTGCGAGGCCGCCGCCTGGGCGACCAGTGTGCTGGGGGCTTGGAGGACCTGACAGCTTCACGGGTGACATTTACCCTGATGGATCGGTATTTGAAGCCGAGCATCCCAGCCTCGCGAGTGCGGGCTGGGGGTGCGTGGCGCTTCATCCCGATTGCCTTCAGGTTGTCTCGTTTTGCTCTGGTCCCGTGCTCGACCCGTTGCAGTGTATCAGTGCTGCCGAGCTCATCGCTGTCATCCATGTGCTGCGCTTGGCAGCGCCGCCAGTGCGTATGTTTTCGGACTCTGCTTTTGTTGCGGATGGCTTCCACGAGCGTGGTCGTGTGGCCACCACTGCCTGTGTCGCCGCGCGCGCTCACCTCTGGAGGGAGTTTTGGCGGTTGGTGGATGACTGGGGGGGACGGGTTTGATCTCTCGAAAGTCAAAGGCCATGCGGCCGTAGGTGACATCCAGCATGGGCGCGCCACGGCGCGCCACAGGTTTGGCAATATGATGGCAGACCGTGCTGCTAAGAGTGCTGCTGCATATGCGAGGGTACCGAGTCAGGACCGTGCGCAGCTGCAGGCCCGTTCTAAGGCTGTCAAGACCTGGGGAGGCTGGATCGGTCGACTCAGCGAGGGGCTCGAAGATTGTGGTCACCCCAAGCGACACAATCGGGGCAAGCCGCGTCTTCCACGGCTTTTTGTTGTGCGTGGGCCCGCCCCATCCGACGTAGCCTCTCGCGTGCTGGCGGCGCAGAGGAAGCTAGAGGATGGAGCGCGCAAGCATGAACTTGTTCGGATTGCCCTGTGCGAAGGTCCCGCGGTCGTGGGCTGTGCGCGTTGTGGCAACTTCGCAGCTGCTCGTGTTGCAGCTCTCAGCCAGCCGTGCCCGCCTGTGGCCACCGATCATGCCATGAAGGTGCTCAAGCGGCTCGGCAAAGGTGAGTTTCGCATCGGTGCTAAGGTGTTTCGTGTCGCAGCGCAGGCGCCGCTGGTATCGGCAGCACACCTGCTGGAGGCAGGCGCGGCCAGCGAAGGTGCCAGCATGGCCCAACCCTCGGAGGCACCACAGCGATCAGCTGGCGGTGCTGGAGCTCATGTGGAGGACGGAGGTGTCGTTCCGTCGACGTCGTCGAGCGGGGGCGGAGGAGTGTGTTCGGGAGCTGCTGCGCCTGCGCGCAAACAGCGCACGCAGCGCACGGAAGCAGAGCGCGCTGCTATTGTTCAGCGGCTGCTGGCAGCTGCCAGCGGCCGCCCTCCTCCCCACGTTTTGCACGATGCTCTCGACAATTATGGTTCAGAACAGCCCGACCCCACCGTGGGGTCGGGCGTGGGGGGCATGCTGTGCCCCAAGTCATTCTTCTGGCCATGCACAGCCCTCCCGTTGCGCGCTGGCGGTCTGGCCGTGCGCAATCAGTGCTGCCTGGAGGCCCCTGGCAGCAGTGTGGCCCACCGCGGGCCCTGTCCGTTGTGCGTGGCTGAGGGCGGTTGCAAGGTGCGCCCTCAGCCACGCCAACCGACGGCTGATGCGTCATAGACTCTGTGGCGCCTCAGGTTGTGCGCTGGAGGAGGAGGGGGAGGAGAAGAGGAAGGTGGATACCACAGTGCTCTATTCAAGACGAGTGCCCGACACAGGAAGGTTGGAAAAAACTCAGGCTCCGTTTTACTTCATTGCGACCGTTCCAGAGCGTGCCGGAACGCCCTGAGAGCGTCCCAGAGCGATCTGGAGCAACTTACGTATCCTCGCTCGCCTGTCCCAAGCTCTTGACCCCCTGGGGTTTCGCAAGAAGCCGAAGGCCCCTGTCAAAGCATAGTTTCTCGAGCCCGGGCAGACAGTCTGTAGATCAAGACCTGGGAACTCAAAGATATCGTCGGACGATCGGCCCTGGAACATCGACAGTGGGAAACTTTCGCTCAACTTGTCCCAGCACTGGCTCCTGCGACTGGCTATGCCTTGCAAGCCGATGCCGTGCCGACAACGCTTTGGTGGGGCAGAAGGCTGCGTGCTTGGCGTGTTGGGCCGAAGAGTGGTGAGCCAGAGCCGGAGATGCAACACGCTAAGCAAACGGTTCTGCCCGTACCTTGCTTGAGAGATCGTTCTAGAAGCTCTGGAATATCTAGATCGTGATGCGCACCTCGGCCCATAATGGTTGGCATTTCCAGGGGTCCCCACTGAAAGGGTCTCCTCGATCCCATCATCCCCCGTGCTTGGCCTTGGGCGCAGAGTTGTCTGACATGCGACGCTCGTCGCCATTAGAAATTCCCCCCTCGTCTCTCCCTGTGTCTCCTCCCCTTCTCCTCTTCGCCTCCCCTTCCTCCTCGTCCTCCTCCTCCTCCTCCTCCTCCTCCTCCTCCTCCTACTCCCTTCTCCAATCTCCCCCCTCCCTCCCTCCCTCCATTTTCCCATTCCATCTCTCCTCGCCTCCTCCTCCCGCTCCTCTTTCTTCCTTTCCTCCGTCTCCTCTTCCGTCTCCTCCTCCCTCTCCCTCCCCTCCTCTCTTCCCTCTCCCCTCCCCGTCCCCCTCCTTCCTCCCTTCCCTGCCCCTCCCCTCCCCCTCCACTCCCTGCCCCCCCCCCCCCTCTCCTCTCCCCAGCGCGCCACCGAGGGCGGAGGGGAGCAGCGCCCTCTGAGCCACGCCCGCGCGCCGGTGCGGGAGAGGCAGCAACGCAAGCGCCCACGGGGCAGAACGCGAGAGGCAGGGCGGCTCCACTGGATGCCCCTGGTCTGGGTGCCCACCCTCTGTCGTTCCCGCCGTACTTCGGGACCATCACCCCAGACTCAGTTTCGGGCACCCAGGGAAGAGAAGTATCGAGACAGTGCGCGTGCGCGTGCGCGTGCGCGTGCGCGTGCGCGTGCGCGTGCGCGTGCGCGTGCGCGTGCGCGTGCGCGTGCGCGTGCGCGTGCGCGTGCGCGTGCGCGTGCGCGTGCGCGTGCGCGTGCGCGTGCGCGTGCGCGTGCGCGTGCGCGTGCGCGTGCGCGTGCGCGTGCGCGTGCGCGTGCGCGTGCGCGTGCGCGTGCGCGTGCGCGTGCGCGTGTGCGCGTGTGCGCGTGCGCGTGCGCGTGCGCGTGCGCGTGCGCGTGCGCGTGCGCGTGCGCGTGCGCGTGCGCGTGCGCGTGCGCGTGCGCGTGCGCGTGCGCGTGCGCGTGCGCGTGCGCGTGCGCGTGCGCGTGCGCGTGCGCGTGCGCGTGCGCGTGCGCGCGTGCGCGTGCGTGTGCGTGTGCGTGTGCGTGTGCGTGTGCGTGTGCGTGTGCGTGTGCGTGTGCGTGTGCGTGTGCGTGTGCGTGTGCGTGTGCGTGTGCGTGTGCGTGTGCGTGTGCGTGTGCGTGTGCGTGTGCGTGTGCGTGTGCGTGTGCGTGTGCGTGTGCGTGTGCGTGTGCGTGTGCGTGTGCGTGTGCGTGTGCGTGTGCGTGTGCGTGTGCGTGTGCGTGTGCGTGTGCGTGTGCGTGTGCGTGTGCGTGTGCGTGTGCGTGTGCGTGTGCGTGTGCGTGTGCGTGTGTGTGTGTGTGTGGTGTGGTTGTGTGTGTGTGCCCGACGCGCTGGCGCATGGTCGAGCGAGTCTCGCCGCCGCGCGGGCCCAGAGCGCGATAGCCCTGCAGTTTCGGTACTCTCCTGGTGCTCGAAGTTCTTTCTGGAGGTCAAGGCGAAAGTCTGTTGGAACATCGTAATCCCCACCGAGATGTCCGATCCGAGGTGGCGGCGATGTGAGATCCGGGGAGCCAGCCTCTACGGTTGGGAGCTTTTGCTTCGCGTGTCGCGGCGGCGGTCCTGGCGACGCGCTATGCCTTTCGAGCGGATCGCGTGTCGCTTTGTTCTCGGGTCGGGGGGCTCGGAAAAGCTCGGGACGTCGACGCCTGAGCCAAAAAGCTCCCGACCGAGGAGGGGGCGCAGGCGTATGGTGATGATGAGGGTTGGGCGAGGGAGGGGGAGAGGGAGGAGGAGGAGGAGGGGGGAGGGGGAGGGGGAGAGGGAGGAGGGGAGGGGGGAGGGGAGGAGGAGGAGAAGGCGGAGGAGAAGGAGGAGGAGGAGGAGGAGGAGGAGGAGGAGAACGTTGGAGGATACCCTCCCCAAGGATGCACAAGAGCATCCAACCAGCACCAAGAATATGAGGGTACTCCCCGAACCGACCTCGATCGTATACCTCGGTCCGACCCTATCGCCAGCTCGGGGACGCATCGTGGACCCCTTCGCTGGAGGTGGCCCCCCCTGGTGGTGGTGGTGGTGGTGGTGACGCCGCTCCCTCCCCCAGCGAACCCCGGACGAGTCCACCGGCGCGGCGCTCGGATACCCGACTGAACCGAGAGACCTGAGATCGGTCTTCAACTCGAGCCACATTCGAAACACTCGTACCACTCTGCAACTGCTTTGCTGCTCTGTCGAGCGGTCTTCTGACAACACCTCGAGATTCAGACTGATCTCAGAGCTCTCTTCTGTGCAACCAGCAAGCGTCTGACCAACAGCTGTGCTCTGCCCTTCCCAGGGGCCTGAGCTCGACTGCCGCCCAAGATCCAGGATCGGAGCGCCCTCGGATCGGACACTCCGTCGGGCCTCGATGACGGGCAGGAGAACGCGCCGAGGCAAGGTAGTGCCCCGCGGGTGCTGCCGAATTCTGGAGGGCGGCATGCATCTGGCCCTGTGCGGCCCGCGCGGGAGAGCGCGGCGGAGGGGGGGGGGGGGGAATGAGTCCGACTGGCCACCGCTGTGGGAGCTGTGCTGCTAACCCCCCCGTGGGGCAACCCGCCGAATCGACGATCCCCCGAGAGGGTGGGCCAACGACGACGCGGTGGGCCCCCCCAAGAGGGGTACGTAACGGCCGCAGCTCCCCTGGCTGTAGCTGGTCTGGCATGTCTTCGAAATGTTTAATGCGTTGCATGCCCATTCGGGGCCTCTGAAGCCTCCGGGGGCCCCCGTGGGTCTCCATAGACCCCCCGAGGACTCGAGGGGGGAGACGTGGGAATGGGAAATGGGATAGGTACCACTTTCTACTCCTCCTCCTCCTCCTCCTCCTCCTCCTACTCCTCCTACTCCTCCTCCTCCCTCCCTCCCTCCCTCCCCTCCCCCTCCCTCCCTCCCTCCCTCCCTCCCTCCTTCCCTCCCACACTCCCAAATTTGGGTCCCCCTGGCGCTTGGTACAGATTTGCATCCTGCCGGGAATTGAATTGTGCGTTCTCGGCCATCTGTTATTGCGTACCGCTTTCCCCTGCGTGCTGCTTTCCCCTTCCCTGGAGGTGAATCCAGCAGTGGGGACGGACAAGACTTAAAGACGGAGTCGACGCTCTTTCGTACCCCCTTACATTCCCGTACCCCCTTAAATTCCCATACTTCACATACTCCACATCATCCTTCCGGCGTATGGCTTGACTGACTGACCCCCCCTTCTTCCCTTCCCCGAGTGCGCAAGGCATACTATGTTTCGGAATCGAAGCTGTGTATGCAGTTTGGGGTCCCTTTTTCAGGAATCCCGCCTCAGGACCATCAGCAAGAGCCACCTCGCCGAGAAGCGCTCGCGCCCCGTCCCTCTCGCCACCCCCCTCCCGGATGAGGACCGTCTTTAGGCCTCACCCGTGAGGACCGTCAATAGGCCTCACACCCCGCCCAGCTTCCATCATAGGGGCTGCGTGGGCCCCCCCCGCACCTTGACATGAAGGCGTCAATAGCCACTGGAGGGGGCCGAGGACTCCTCTAGGGACCCTCGGCCAACGAAGACGTCCCTAGAGGGTCCAACGTACCTCTACACCTTTACAACTTCCCACGATGGCGTCAACTGCCACCCCCGCGGTTTTCCTCCTTCCTCCCCCCCCGCCTCCTCCTCCTCCTGCGCCCCCTCCTCCTCCTCCTCCTCCTCCTCCTCCTCCTCCTCCTCCTCCTCCTCCTCCTCCGCCTCGTTGCGGGAGCATGGGAAGGGGGGGAGAAGAGAGGGAGGGTACCTATCTTACAGGCGCGCTGGGGAAGCTGGCTTGCAGAGGGCGGCTGGCCCGGTCCGCTCAGCAGCCGTCGTGGCTCTTCCGGGCTTTCGCTGGCCTCCCCTCGTCCGTACGGCATGGTGCACCGCCTGCCGCGCCACACCGCGGTGCTGTCAGTTGCATGACGGGATCGGGCGGATGGTAAATGGGGGGGGGGGACCCACACGGGGGAGGAAGAAAAGGGCCCCAAAGGGGCCATTTAGGGCGCCTCTTGGGCCCCGTTGGTTCCCTAAAGGGGCCCGAAGAGGGTCCCTTCCTCCACCCGCCAGTTGGGCCACCCCCCACGCACCACCCGCCCGAGACAGAAGCCAGCACCAGCGAGGCGGGGGTCCTGCTCCTGCCTCCTGCCCCGCCCGCCTTCCTCCCCCGCCGCGCAAGCAAATCGAACAAACAGGGCGGCGCGCCCGGCGCCCGGCGGCCGCGGGCGGGGAGTCCGACGGTGTGCTCTGGTCAGTCGCGGCGTGCCTCCGTCGCGTCGGCCTCCGAGGGGTCGCCTTCGGGCTCGGGGACCCTCGAGCCTTGTACCAGGGCGCAGGACCTGCCCCCGGTGAAGGGGCGGGACCCCCTGGGGCCGCGGATTGAACGAATCGGATCGTGGGATGTCCAGGAACGGTTCCTGGAGAAACGGGGTCCTGCTCGTTTCCGTAGTTTCGGGCCCCTGGGGCTCCCCACGGGCCCCAGGACAGTCAAACGTCGACTCCGGATGATGATGACTTGGTCTTCGAGACGTCTCAATGGTCCAAGTGCAGTCGGGCTGATGAGAGAAGGACCGGAGCCCCTTTTTGGATTCCAAGCGCCTGCATGCACGAGGAAGGTTAGAAGAAGAACCAAGGAAGGACCCTAGGAACATCGAGCCCCTTCCGAACCCAAAGCGGTCCTTATTTCAGCGTCTTGGCTGTACACGCTTCCCTCAAGAGCCGTTCTCCCTCACGGCGATATCAGCGCCTCGCTGCCGACACATCTGCTGTCGCTGCTGCCAACACAACTTCTTTGTCCCTCAGCGCCAACTCCGCCAATCAAGTACGACGCCCACTGCCGCTGCTGTCGACGCAGCGCTGGCAAAACGCCCTGCTGCTGGCAGAGGCGGGGGGCAGAGGAAGGCGAGAGGGGCAAGGGGGATACATATCTCCCACAGTCGCGTTTTTTTTTTTGTTTTGTTGTTGTTGTTTGTACAGCGCGCCCGCCTGCCAGGAACCGCGTCATCGCCCTCGACTTCATGTCTCAACGAACCGCACTCTCGCCAGGGACACCATTGTGCACATGTTGCTCAAGAGCTGCCGTATACCGCTCGGCACTCCTCGCAGTCTACCTAATTACGTCGGCATCCCGCCTGCGCAAACAACGAACCGCCCTCTCGCCAGGAGCTTCCTCGCCGCCCGTTTCGCCGCCACGTCCGCCCAGTCCGCCCGTCGAGGCCCGCCCGCCCGCCCCGACCCCACTGCGGCCCGCCCGACCCGACCCGCCATTCCGGGCCTGCCTGCCCGACCCGCCGGTCGAGGTCGGCCCGCCCGACCCCGCAGGAGGAGGAGGGAGGGAGGGTGAGGGGGAGGGGGAGGGGGAGGGAGAGGGGGAGGAGAAGGAGGAGGAGGAGGAGGAGGAGGAGGAGGAGGAGGAGGAGGAGGAGGAGGAGGAGGAGGAGGCCACGCCTGTTCGGGTGTCATGCACGCCCGACCTGCCCAGGAATGCCCGTCCGTGCCCTTGCTGGCGCCCCGCCCGCCCTGAGGTCCCAGCCGCCCGACCCGCCCCGTGAGGGTCCGCCCTCATGGCCCGCTTGTCTTGTCTCTACAGGTGTCGGGGTTCGCGCAGGAGCTGAAGTCTACAGGCATGAGCCCCCACAAGGGAGCTCGTTTTGACACGACAAAGGGTGGGTGAGTCGAGGGCTTGGGGTATACATGGTTAAAGGCACACGGGCAAGGAGCAACGAACAGAGTCAAGATAGTTGCTGAACTGTCACGCTTGAGTCATCATATTACTGACCCACCCCTGTCCAGCGTGTAATCTTCCTTTAGTTGGCGTGCACACCCGACGCGCACACCGTGCGTTGCTCCACAATCAGGCTTTGCCTACAGGGCTTCCTGCTTGTTTGTGGAGACACTGTGTGGGAGACCTGGACGCCGGCGTTCCTCGGGGTTGCTCAGAGTTGTCTTTACGTTGGCGCTCCGCGGGATGGTTTGGTCACTGTTCTCTGCTGTGGCTGTCCACGGAGTTGCTTGGTCTTGTTTCTTCGCAGTGGCTTTCCTCAGGGTTGCCTGGTCCTGTGTCTTTCCACTTGCGTCCCTCCGGGGTGCTTGGCCTTGCTTCTTCCCAGTTGCATTCCTCGGCCAAGCAACACCAAGCAATACCACATCACTCTAACTAACGCCAAAGAATTGCACGCAATACCAAACAACGCCAAGCAATGCAAACCAGTACCAAGCAATGTGAAGCAATGCCAAACAACGCCAAGCAATGCAAAGACACGCCACGCTACGCCAAGCAATGCAATGGAACGCCATACTGTGCTAAGCAAAGCGGAGAAACGCCAAGCAATGCCAGTCAATGCCAAGTAACACCGAGCAATGCCAAGCAATGCGCAGTAATGCCCAGCAACGCGAAGCAATGCCAACGAATGCCAAGCAATGCCAACCAATGACAAGTCAGCAACACCAAGCAATTCCAAGCAATGCCAAGCAATGCCGAGCGAAGCAACGCAGCGCCAAGCAGTGGAACGCAAAGCAAACCACTGCAACGCCAAGCAGACCAGCCACGCAACTCCAAGCAATGCCGCTTAGGAAGCGTCTCCCACTTGGGGTCATGACAGGTTCACTTCGGCGGTGGATAAATCTCCCTTTAGTAGACCTCCCCTTAGTGAAAAGGCCCGGGACCGAAACCGACGGACCTGGACCCGCAAAAATGACGGTCGCGACGCCCTCTCGCGAACCGAAAACGGCAAATTCCTTAAGCGACGTGTCAGGGTAGGAGGTCTGTCCACCCCCGAGCACTATTGAAGGAACATCTTGAGGCCCATCGGCCTGCTCGTTGGGGCCTGCACACCCGCCCGCCCCACCGTTGGGGTCCGCCCGCCCGGCCCACCCATTGGGGTCCGCCCGCCTGGCCCAACCGTCCGGGTCCTCCCGCCCCATCCGTCCGCCCGCTCCGCCCTGTCGGGGTTTGTCGAATAGCTGGCTGAGCAAAAGTGCCCTCCTCCCCACGGGTAGGGGGAAGGTTTTAAGACGAACAGGCTTGGGGAAAACATGTTGAGTGGCACGCGAGAAATGGAGAGCGAGCAGTCTGAAGACTACATCGCCGCTCCGAAAGTTCCTTGAATTTTCTGAGTTGGGCCCGATGGCATTGTGCGCCCGCCTATGTTGCACCCCTCTTGGCAACGGCCCCGACGGGGTTGAGGGGCAGGATGCGTTGAACCCCCCTCCCCCACTAGAAGCCTAGCAAGGTAGCCCTCTTGAGTGGTCCCTGCGGGATCCTTGGCGAGTAGTTCCCCCTTTAATTACGATGGGGGCGTTCGTTATGGAACGAGCCCAGGAGGCTTCAGACCCTGGAGGGTTCCTTATCTGATGAGGGCGGCGGTGATATCCATGGCCAATCCACGATTGGAGTTCCACTGGCTTTCAGACCCTGGATTCCTCATCGAAGGTTTCCTTATCCAATGCCCCCACCGTATAT